GATTTTATTACTCAAGAATCGTGAAGTGTGAATTAAAAGTGATTATATGTTGGTGAGAATAATAAGTTTTATATCAGTGAGAATAATAAATTTTACAAAGTAATGATGTTATTATAATTTTTTTTACATGTAAAATAAATTTTTAGTAGATATAAATGTGGGGTTGTTTTAATAAAATATAAACTTGTGGATCAATTTTTGTATTAAAATAACTCAAATAATAATATAATATTTTCATATGATCTCATATTATGATTTTTGGAGAATATGGTATCACATTTCACGATACCGTATCATGAGGTAGAATCAGCGTAAAATTATATGTTCAAATGCTGATTCCATCTCATAATACCATATTGTGATATGATATTACATGGCCAAACGCCTGCTAAGTAAAATATTTTATATTGAAGACAATTTTATTGTTATAATTTGAAATGTCCGACTAAGAATATAAAGATGGTTATCATCTCATTATAATCTTTGATATTCGATTAATAAATATACTTTTTTTTTCTTCTTTCTCAAACAATTCTATTATCATTTATTTATTTATCTCTGATTTTTATTCATTTTTTTTTCTTTTAGTGTTGGTGAGTCATGCATGCCACCCTTTTTCCCATCTTTACCAAACTTTTTTCTTAAGCACCCTTTCTTTAAAAATTGAAATTATTATTATTATTTTATTATTATTTTTTAAAAAAGAACTTACTAAAAAAAAATAATTTTTCAGTACAATAGTTCCCATACCTCCCATTCTTCCAATAGTTGAAAAGACAGACTAGTAAAATGAGAGGGAAAAAAAGAGAGACTAAATTGAAAATAATTAAGTTAGTTTTTTTCAGTAGTTAATTAAATAGAATAAATTTTACTCCTATGTTTAATACTAAGATTTTCTTAATTATTGAATTTTTCTGCAGTTGACTAGACTTATTCAACTCTTCTACTTTGACTTTCTATGATAAATATAGGTGTAAGGTTCATTATAATTTTTTTTCGAAAAATTACATGGTATATTATCAAATTATATGCTATGCCTTTTTTTTAAAATATATTTATTATTATTTAATAGTTTGAGTCTTGTTAGTAAATCTCTGATCTTCGCTTCTAAATGAAACTATCTCATGTAAATTCGAATAAGTAGAGTTAGTAAATTTCACGTATTAAATACATATATATCAACAAAAACAATAATAAAATAATAGTCACGACACAATTACAAACTAGTTAATTAGTAACACAAACTAACTAGTCTTGCAGAGATTAAACGTGGATTATGATGGAATGGTTGAAATTCCTTCGCTCATAACTAAAGATTTTAAAATTGATCTTTCGATATTCGAAAAAAATCGGTTAAAAAGGGCAACTTAATATTAATTAACGCCTAAGCGATTTCATAACTTGAGCTTTTCTCAACTTGCTGTAACTGATCTTACTTTGTAAACTTTAGCCCTCTCTTCCTTTGTAGTTTTCTAATTCGACTAAATAACATCGTAACCTCAACCTCATAATTTAATTATTGCTTTAATACGAATACGAAACACGGAATTAATAAGCCATACGTAAAAGTCTTGAAGAGATAGAGTACTCAAGTGAACAATGTCAAGCTGTCCATTATCTTTATGGCATGCAACAACATCACTTATACGTTACAATTTTGCCTTAGCAAAAGAAGTATAAATAAATTATGAAAACCTTATTGTATAATTAATTCATGTAATGTGAAGTATTGAACACCAAAGCCATGTGGAGTTGGGTAGTAACAACTCAAGAGAAAATATAACAACAATAAAGGTTTTGTGCAGTATGGACCATATATTTTTCCATTAGAGAAAAGTAATAAAATAAAAATATATTTGATTGTAATTTTATATATCGTGTATGTGACACACAAAATTTTACTTTTGAATATCTTTATGGGATAAATACGTTGTTTACAAAGACCCTTAATTTTTAAAAAATGAAAGAAGTTATTTAAAAAAAGAGTTACGAGAAAAATAAATAGCAACAAAATATCAAAATACAAAGCAAAAATAAAACAACCGATAACAAAAATAAAAACGTTTAGCAGAATAAGAAACTACATAATTATCTATATATTATTCCTTACATTTTAATTTGTCGTCTGATTTTGACTTGAAATGAAATTTCAGAAAAATAAAAAAAAGACTTTTTAAATCTTATTATCTTAAACTAAAGATATGTTGAACATATTAAAATATCTTTATATTTTATGGCCTTGACATGTGGGAAATTAAAATTTAAAAATTGTAAAAAAACACATTTTATTTTTCTAAAATAGACTAGAAAAGTAGGAAAAAAATAAATTTAAGACGGAGAAAGTAATACTAATAAGGAGAAGAGTACTAATAATTTATTTTATAGTAAAGGTGAAACAGAATAATATTAAATGGAATAAGATAATATGAGATATTTAAAATTCATTGAATCGTACTAACTTTATGGTAAATGATCGTTTGTTTTGCTGATTCAATTATCTCATAATTATAATTTTTGAAATAGTTTATTCTACTGTGAAAGTGGAATAAAATATTATTAAATGAAATAAGATAATATGAGATATTGAGAATTCAGTTTCGATTAAATTTGTATATTGATAACATATATTTTTGAAATCGATTCTTTTTAATTAAATTTAATATAAATTTAATTTCCAATATAATTATACGATATTCTAGTTATCTTGGTACTAATCAACCCTAATTGGATAAATTGTATCCAATAAATACTATTAGCTAATATATATAATAGTAAAAAAAAGTGAAAAAATGCTTATCTTATATAATGTAAATTTTAATTAATTGGTGTTTGAACGATATTGATGATAAATAAAAAAAAATATGTAGAATAGCAGATAATTAACTTGAGGAAAATAATATGTATTTATTAAGCCGTTGATGAAAGTGATGAATAAATGAAATTTCTTTTTTTTTTAAATTAAAGATTTTGAGTTTGAGATTATTTTTTTATGTGAGACGTTTCTCTTTAAGAATCATATATATGGTGTGAATTTAAGATGAGTAACTTTCACATAAGGCAAACATAAACATTATATTTGTATGTTATAACTATACTTTGCATAATTGTTTTTCATAGTAAAAATAAATATGTATATTTCGCTACACATGTACAAAAATAAATAATTGTATAATTCGCTATACATATACAAAAGATCAATTGTATAATTTGTATATGTATAAAGCGAGAAAGAGAGAAAGACAAAAGAAACTGGGCAGAGTAATATTTGTATTGTATAATTATAAGTGTATAGGACGAACATATATGTATTTGCATTTGCATATACAATTTTCTTTCACTTTATACAAACCGAATCGCAATTTATACATTTCGTTTATATTTGAATAAGCGAAAGAGGCGAGGGTGGCGAGCGAGATCTGGGAGAAGGGAGAGAGGAAACGAAAATATATGTATATATACAATTTCTCTCGCTTTATACAAACACAAACACATTTTATATATTTGTGTTTATATAAAAGCGAGAGGGAGCGAAAGAGGGAGAGTGGCGAGCGACAGTTTGAGGGAGAGAGGAGGCTGACAAACTATTTGCTACTATGACATAATTAAATCAATGTGTAGCTATAACATTTAATTTGAATTATTAATTTGCTATCATATACAATATTCCTTTTATTTAATCTAATAAATCAGTTTTGATGTTGAGTACGAAATAGTTAACTTGAGAAAAAATGCATCTTTACTTAACTAGTAATAAACGCGATTCTTCTATTCTTAATAACATATTTTTGATTCAAGTTTGTTTTGCTTCATATATTTTATATGGTGTGAATCTAAATTGTTCGAATAAGTCAATTTAGATATAGAATACCAAATAGCTAATCAGAAAAAATAACAACAACGACATAAAATGGACAAATAAGAAATAGACAAAAATCTATTCTGAAACTCTAGAAACAAAAACGAAAGGGATTCACAATACTCAATTACAATAATATACACAATATAATTCCACAAAATAGTATAGAGTGTCCCAAATTTTATTTCTATCTGCATTGTGCACCTTTAGAAGAACGACTCTCCGAAATTCTCCTCAACAAAGTCAAATATATTGTTTATTTCCGATAGATTCTTGGCTAAGCAAAATAAGTATATTTTAACTTGAAAAATCATTCATAAAATTTTAACTAATCATACTTTTCGCAGCGACACATCAAAAAAAGATTGAGGAAATATGAAAAAGACAAGATATGATACAATTTTGGACATTTACATAAAAATGTACTGATTACACTTATGTGTAGTAGATTAATCGACAATATAGTGTTATCTTACTTATGATGGTTGGTGTTTGCAAATGTACTTGTTGTATTACTTTAGTTCTTGTTTTTGATCTCCATCCGTAGTTATTATCATTTCATTAATATATTGTAATATGTTCTTTATCGTGTTTCAATTGGTATACTATTTTATTTTTATTGTTGCTCTCTTCTGGTAGCAGTGGCGGAGCCACATTGTCATTAGGGGTTTATCCGTATCCCATTCGACGAAAAATTATACATTTTTATATGAATAAAATTATTTTTCATGTATATATAGAAGATGTTGAACTCTCTTTAATTACTTCATGTGTCCCTTACTGATAAATCTAACTCCGCTACTATCTGATAGACTCCATTTGAACCAAAGATCTTTTGAAAATAACTTTTCTATCGCCACTCAATGATACTCAATAGTAATAAAATCTGCGCTCATATAAAATTTCACCGAATATATTATTATTACCGTCAAATACTTTTCACCCCTCTCTTTTGTGGGTCACACACACACACAACCATTTATTTTTTTTGAAAATATGATTAGATGTGCTGTCAATATAACTTTAAACAATAAGGCCTGTCCATGCCCCTTACCCCCCACCCCACCCAACCCCCAACTCCACCCCCCACCCCACCCCACCCCCTCTCTGTATATTGTACCCTGCAACAGTTAGAACTCAAAAAAAAAGTGAAAAGAAAAAGAAGGGTCCATTCCATTTCCATCATACTACCAAAAAAGCAAAAGCTAAAGAAAAAAAAAAGCAAAAAAAAAGAAGACAAAGTTTAAAGAGAGAGAATTCAAACAAGAAGAAGGGTTTTCTATCTTTGTGGAAAAAAAAAATAAGAAAAAAAAATGCAGAATCAACAACAGCTACAGACACTGATGCAAGCAGGTCAGATTTCAGGGAGTTTGAGTTTTAATGGTAATTTAAGTAAAGAAGATGAAGAAATGTCAAAATCTGCACTTTCAACTTTTAAAGCTAAGGAAGAAGAGATTGAAAAAAAGAAACTCGAGGTTAAGGAGAAAGTTCAAGCTCAGTTGGGTCGTATTGAAGAGGAAACTAGACGTTTAGCTATTATTCGTGAGGTTTGTTTACATTTTCTTGAAATTTTGTGTTGAAAGTTTAGATTTTTTGTAAGTTTTTTTAATTAAAGATTGTTTTTTGAAGTATGGGGTTTTGATTTTTTTAGCTCAAGAACTGTTATTAGCTTTAGAGTTGTCTGTATTGTGAGGTTTGTTTTACATTTTCTTGAAATTTTGTGTTAAAGTTGGGATTTTCTGTATGTTTAAGATTAAAGATATTTTTTTTTGAAGTATGGGGTTTTGATTTTTTAGCTCAAGAACTGTTATTAGCTTTAGACTTGTTAGTATTATGAGGATTGGTTATATTTTCTTGAAATTTAGTGTTAAAGTTTGGATTTTTGTGGGATTTTCTGTATGTTTTAGTTTAAAGTTTGTTTATTGAAATATGGGGTTTTGATTTTTTAGCTCAAGAACTGTAATTAGCTTTAGTGTTAGTATTTATATTATGAGGTTTGTTTACATTTTCTTAAAATTTAGTGTCAAAGTTGGGATTTTTTGTGGGATTTTCTGTATGTTTTTAGATAAAAGATTGCTTTTTTAAGTATGGGGTTTTGAGATTTTAGCTTAAGAACTATAATTAGCTTTAGATTTGTTTACAACTTTTATTTTTTGACAAAAAAAGCTTACAACTTTCTGTTCATTGCCTTAAAGTTGGATTTTTTTTGGGTTTTGTGCATATTTGAAGATTAATTGATTAAAGATTGGTGGGGGGTTGATCTTTAAGCTCAAGAACTTGAAATAGCTTGTTATGAGGTTTGTTTACTGTTTTTGACTAAAAATAGTTTACAACTTTCTCTTCATTCTTGAATTTTGAGCTGGGAATTTAGCCTTAAAGTTGGAATTGTTTTGTGGGGTTTTTCTGCATACTTGAAGATTAAAAATTTGGTGTGTCCTGAGGTTTGATTTTCTTGGATTTTGAACTGGAAGTTTGCTCTTATTTTTTAGCATTTTAGGGAAGGAGGAGCTCCAAAAGAACTCTGATCTATCTAAATCCCTCCTATAAAAATATGGTTTTCTGCATAAATCTAGTTTTGTAATTATATTTTGCCAGTTAACATTAATACAACAATGTGTATAAATTTTGGAAATTTGTACTTTTGAAAAGGGTTGTTCTTGTTATTGTGGAAAAATCAAGATTCGCCAGTTTATACAACAACATACTCGGTGTAATCCAACAATTGTAGGGGTTTGGGGAGGGTAGTCTGTACGTTTCCGAATTTTTGGTACGATATGTGGTAAACTTGGGAATTTTTTGAACTTTTTGTGTGAAGGGTAGTTTACTTCAGATCAAGTTTCTTCCATATATACTAAACTGATGATGTTAAAACTAAATTTTTATCAGGAACTAGAAGCATTAGCAGATCCAATGAAGAAAGAAGTTTCAACGGTTCGAAAAAGGATTGATATTGTCAACAAGGAGTTAAAACCCCTGGGCCAGACTTGCCAGAAGAAGGTATAAATCATATTATTTGCCACTACATTCTTGACTTTACTCTCACCATTTTCTGTTTGCATTATAATATATAGTCTAGGCATTGTCTTTTTCCTATAACAGACCGATCCATGCCAGTTTGTACCCACCTCGACTACTTGCTACATCCAATTAGCTTAGGTATCTCGTGATTTGCTAAGTAAGGGTTGGGCGGATGTTGATTCACTTAACGTTTTTCATATACATAGCCTGTACGATGTACTTTAGCTCGACTTGTGCTTGCTACGTCCAACTAGCTTTAGTTATTAGGTGACTTTACCAACTAAGGGATAGGCCGATGGCATTAATTCACTTCGTGTTTTTCGTCTACATAGCCCGTTTGATGTACTTTTGTCCCTTTCTCATGTTTTAAACTCTCTATTGCTTAAAGATCTTTTTCATTGGCATTTGGGTCATGTTGGCTGGGTAACAATTAGATTGTAGATCTTTCAATCTTTGTTATTCGGACCCTCCAAAAATGCGTAGCTTTTGGTGGATCTGACACACATGTGGCATTTTGAAGAGTCGAGCAACATAGATAAATCGTTGAGATGGGATTTAGTACTTACTGATTTACGGGATTCTTGATTGTGGCCATTTCAATCGGTGACTACAGGAGAGAGAATACAAAGAAGCTCTCGAGGCCTTCAACGAAAAACACAAGGAAAAAGTACAACTTATATCAAGATTGATGGAGGTGAATATGAATTCATTGATGTTCTCGTTTTCAAATTATGTTATTCGTGCGAGTACATTCAGAACGTTTTTCTCTGTGTCTGATCGTAATGTTTCATCGTATGTATTAGCTGGTGGGTGAAAGCGAGAAAATGAGGATGAAGAAGTTGGAGGAGCTGAGCAAGAGTGTAGAAACGATCCATTGAAAGATAAATCACCTTAAAAAAGCTCATCAGTGACGACTAATTAGGCTTGTGTGATATATTTAAGATCTATAATCGAAATTTCTGTTTATTATATGGTTGTTTTCGCGTTTGGTGGGTGTATTCTTTCTTCCTTTTTTCGCGCTTTATGTTGTTCTTTGTTCATTTTTAGGCTTTTGAAGGATGATGATCTAATTTTAGGTGTCAAAAGGGAAGAAATACCCTTGTAAACATGTTTGTAACTAAAACAGGTCTTCTCTCAAGCTATGGATTCTTTTGTTCAATTATTCTCTTCTTTTATATCCCTCTATTTTTCGATGTATCGTTTAGCTTGGTTGAACTTGTATTATGTGAAGAAAAGTTAACGATAAATTTGTCTTGTATTTATGTGATTTAGTTTGGCTCGGCACAAATTTAAGAATGAAAGGAAGTTTTGATTCTTCCTAAATTGTTGGCTTACTTTTGAGTGTTTTAATGTCTCAAGTAATTTTGTATTTGTGGAAATGAAGCAAAATATGTTACGACTATAAAAGCATGTAGCTATTATGTAGTTTTTGGTTCTTTGATTTGTTGATATTTGTTGTTTCGTGTAGTTCGATTGTAGTATTTGTTTTGTTACTAACTCTTGTCTCGAAACTTGTATTACCGTCTTTTTTATTCTATTTTCGTCTAGAATCAATGGTTTGTCAGATGATCAGAAATCATCTCTTTACCTTATCTGCATATATATGCTATCTCTCTTGACTTTACTTTGTACGAAAACATATAAAAACGTATAACGCTTTTCGAAGTGGATGGAAAAAACGATGTCATATAAAATGAAAGAGAGTACATATCAAACAACACTTAAAATATCGAGCAAGAATAAAAGGTATTTATCGTGCATCGGTATAATTTTATCGAAATTTCTCAAAGACTATCATTGCTAATATACTATTCATTTGTGGTCCTTCTCTACAACCAAACCCATCTCTGTGTACTCTATCCCGCGTTAGGAATACTTTTTTACCTAGCTAATTTAAATTCGCGTTAAAAAAATCACTCTAACGAATAAAATACTTTATGTTAATATCAAAATTATTTAATGCACTAAAGTTAGTAGTATAGGAGGGGTCGTCAAACACTTAAAATATCGAGCAAAAATAGAAGGTATTTATCATGCACGTATCTTCTTTGTAACGTTATAATTTTATCGAATGTTCTCGAAGACTATCATGCTAATATACTATTCATTTGTGTTCCTTCTCTTCATCCGGAACCATTTTTGTGTACTCTATCCTGCGTTAGGAATTCTTTTCTACATGACTAATTTAAATTCATGTTGAAAAATTTCGATCTAACGAATAAAATATTTTATATTAATATCAAAATTATCAAATGCATTAAAGTTAGTAATATAGGAGGGGTCTCTAGAAAAGAGCAAAAACTTATTAGATTCCATTGGCCATTGGGAATTAAAGCTATGATTTAAAAAAAATTAAAGAAGTCCAACTTTAGCTATAAAAGCTATAAACTTTACCGAAAAAAAAAGAAAAAGTAAAAGCTAAATTGATTACTTGCAATATACAATATCTTTAATAGGGATTTTAACCCTATCTTTTAAAAAAATTGACTAACTTTATTCTATGTGACGTGTTTGAATAAACTTAGATAATACTATATAGTAAAATTAATTAATGTATTTTATGAGTTAATTTTTAATTTAATAGTCGAGACTTGAAGAGTTCTTGTTTATAACAAGAAAAAAAAGAAGTCTTCAACTACTTCCTCACACCAAACATGATTTAATTACGATAACGATAAATACAGTAAAATTTTACAAGTTGAGTATAAAAATATAATAGTGTTATCTCATAAATGAGATTAATAAAAGATATAATGCACGCAGACACAAGTTAAGTTTAATTTTTATGAGATGGAAAAGTTAATTCCGCAATATCTTTTCATTGTGAACATATAAAGTGGAGCATATTAGGGGCATGATGAACTTAATTATATTTTATCTTCTACGAGATAATGATAAATTTATTTATATATCATTTTTTTAAAATTTGAGTTATGAGATTACGCTGACTACGTTAATATTCTTAGGAGAAGGTGGAGAAAATAGGAAGGGAATATAACCGTTGGAGTAGAAAAAATTGATACTAAACTTTAACATGGTGCCAATTTGTATAATATTTGGGGATTTGAAATAAAAAATAATAATATTTCTTTTATCTTATGCTCCAACGGTACTATAATTGCTGTCAAACAAGACTTCCAAACTTGGTTGCATGTGGTGTTCAGATTAGTTTACGTATATTTTTAATTAATTTTATAAGGATTTTTTCTTTTTTGTTTTTAATTTTTTTTCATTTTAAGTTAAATGTTATCACATAAATTGGGACCAAAAATTTTTATAATTAGCATAATATAATAAAATTATTATTTTATTTAGTACTACTTTCTAAAAGACATGTCATATTGAATATGAACAGATAAATGTGAACGAAGATAGAAATGACTTCATTTTAAGAATGTAAAAGAGGTGCCTAGAAAAAGCAATCCCTTTTTGTTACATGATGCACTATATCTATTCGTTTTGGAATTTGATTAATTTGTATTTATATTTTATATATATATATATATATATATATATATAAAGTGGGCAAAGCTAGAAAACTCAATAAAAGTTATATGAAACCTCTTAATTTAACGTAAAATTGCATTATGTATAAAGAGTTATTAGATGTCGAATCATCTACCATTTTTTGTCTGTTTGTTTTATTATATTTTGTCTCACTTTAAGGGTAGAGATCGAAACTCATACCAAAGGAGATACTTTTTCAAATCTCGTACTCAACGCTTTTAATTAAGAATGAATTGATATTTATCACTCATATCAATCGTTGATGGTAAAAGCAAAGCTTAATATAATCCATTGGGAATTTGAGTTCTAAAAAATGCCCTATATATTAAACCATAAAAGTTTGAATCATTTCTTGTTTCTTTCTTATGCCTTCAATATTTGGAATTTGAACGTTCCCTTGAAAATTATTATTTACAAAACTCAAACACGATATATCTGATTAAAGGAAAAATAACATTTTTTCATTACAATACTCAAAAAGGTCATTTCCAAAAAATGTAAAGCCAAATTAGGTTTAGGAATGTGTAAATTAGGTATATAGCATATTATGTAGTCATATTCTCAAGTTATGGCATAAGAGTGATTTTCATTCTATAACATTTAATATATCAACTTATAGCATTTCTTTAAATTAAAATATTGTAAATATTTATTCTAAATAGGATGAAAAATAAAATTAAAAAATGAATAATTAAAATTAGATAATTTCCTTGAATGTAGTTACTGTTATTAACTGGTAACAAAATGTGCACCTTTTAAGGGATTTTAAAATATATTAATTATAGATATGCACCTTAATTATCTCAATCCGTTTTTAATGATAATTATTTTTGATTTTTTATTCTTAAAAAATTGTATTATGTTATCTTTCCTTCCATAAA